ATTAGAGCAACAAAGATATAAGGAACGTGAGGATGCGTGGAGAAAGCCTGTTTATTACGAGATTGGTCAAGTTGTTAAATTAAAATATCCTAAGAAAACAAAGATTATTGGCCAATCCTTAAAATTTATCCCTCATTATTTAGGAGAATATAAGGTAATCAAGAAAATAAATGATTTATCATATGAAGTCCAATGTTTAAAAACTGCGAAAATAATTAAAACCTCCGTGGAGAGAATGAGATTGGTTAGAAAATTTTTAATAGAAGATGATGATGAGGTGGAAAACTTTCAATCCATTTCATTATTGAGGGAAGAATTATTAAACCCATTTCGAATTGTAACAACCATAAGTGAGTTGAAATTGGAATCATTTTACGATCAGCAAGAACATTTCGTTCAATATATTCCATTTAAGGTCCAATTTAACCCCGATGTAAATAATTTAACATACCACAATACTTCACTGCTTGATTTAACTAATATGGGAATTTTGCCTTGTGTGAAAGATCAATTTACAGACCCGCAAAAAACCTATAAATTAATTAAATATCAAAATTATAAAATTCCTGTTTTTAGAAGGATCAAGACAAGAGAACAAATTAAAGAATTTTCAAGTATTATGAAAACTCACAAGCTCATCATTTGGGGCACTGATGATGACATTGTAAAAATTTTATGTAAATATGTTATATATAAACATTTGAGTCTCCACTTATACCCATCCATTACTTGCTTTTTAGTTCATTTGTCGCAATATATTGCAATTAACAAATCCAATTTAGATAACATGTTTAAAGAGATTCTGGGGGAAATACCTACGGACAACATTATTGTGCAGGATGATGATGATGATGAAGAAAATGATGACATTTCTAATTTCTCTCCCAGCCCAAGAAAAAGCAAGCGTATTAAATATAGGCCCATTTGGCACTCTGATTATCACTTTTATGGTTCACCTCTTTAAAATGGCTACCTGTTTCAGCTGTCTTGTACCTTTTTTCTTTTTCCAATTCACCTTTATGCAAATTCTTCTTATTCAACCGACCCAAGGAGAAGTACCTATTCAAGACTACTTCATCAATATGAACAAAAAAGACATCCCCATCATCCTATGCCGTGGATACAGTGAAGGTGTATTGTGAAGACTTCCGCCGAAAATAGAATGTCCATTAGTGAACATTACAAAACCGTCAAAAGTGGTTAAAATGACTTTCTGGTGGCAGGATATAACCAAACAATCTATATCCGCCTATGAGTGTTTTAAGGAGACAGTTTATGAGAGGAAAAGTTACTTCTTTTTTGGTACATATAGTAGTGAGAAACATACTAAACGTGAAACTGTGAGTGTGCACGATTGTCATAATATCGTGTACAAGGATATTGCTCCTAATGGACAAAAATTTAAAATGATTGCCGATGGTCTATTCTGGACTGGAAATACTCACCCTTCCCTTGAATATACTTGGCCCAAGACACAAGAAGTGCAAACAATGAATTATTTTTTTATAAATATGAAAATCTCCATAAATAACGAGGACGACACAATTATTACAATGACTAAAGTGTTGGATACGTGTAAATCTCAACAAGGACATTGCCCAACACAAGATGGCATATTAATCTGGAAATATGAGGATGTCGACCACTGCAGATTGGCTGAAGGTGAAACCACAGATTGTTTATACACAGACAATCGTATTTCATGCCCTGCTCTCAACCTCGCAATTTCCGATCCTAAAACAATTTCCATGTGCAAAAGAACTATCGGATTTTCCAAGCAAGGATTAATGTTCACCCCTGTAAACAATTCAGAAGTTGACTTTATCAGCTTGTCTACACGCAAGTTTCGTGAAGTGGTAGAAGGAAAAGTGAAAGTGAAAAGAGACATTATGAAACCACTTCTTTTTCCCAAAGTTAAGCTTGATGCTCAAGTGAATGGAGAATTACAATTTTTATACGACGCACTACGTGATGATGTGTCGTATGCTTTGCAAATAATTCATCGGGACACCTGTAAAAGCCAACAATTAGAACTCGAATTAGTTAGAGCTTTGGCAGAATTTGGACAAAGTTCTATTACGGTTCGTGCCTTAACTCGTGACGGAAGATACAGATCTACACTACGCGGTGACGTTTTAAGTGTTTTCAAATGCACCGAGATTTGGGAATACATGTTCTTGCGGCAGACAAATTGTACGCTCGAGTATCCCGTGTCCTACATGTACCAGCATCAAAAACACGAAGGATGGATTCAAGGACTCAGCCACGAAATTGTTCAGTCTCCGACAATGACATCATGCCCCGCTCCAGTTTGGCTTTTTGACATGGGAAAGAAAGTTATACAACTCTCCAATCATTCCTTACCTGCCTCAACTATTCCTTATTTGCCTTCTCCAAGAGAAACAACAGAATTTCCAACCATTCGTGATTTATCATTCGATCAAACTGGAATTTATTCATTAAAGGAAATATCAGGAGAAACCACTATTCTCGATCTAATGCAACAACTGCAAGAAAGAACCCGTATTAGTGATCTTATTAAATCAAAAGCGGAAGGAGCATCGTTAAACACGGAGGAATTAAGACTCTCAAGATTAATTCAAGATATTACTCTGGATCCTCTTCGTAAATACGTCAATATCACTATTACTATCTTTATTACTCTGCTTATTGTCTACATTCTTTACACTTTACTTAAATTCTATCGTATCCGTTTAGGGAATGCGTTACCATTTCTGAGAAATCTCCCTATTTTTGGCCATATTTTTACAAATCAGGAAATTCAAAATGAAAATTCGGCTACTGCACCTAATGATTTGCTTCTTTTTTCGAATGAAACTCAATCTGATTCTGACTCGCTGACGCAGGAATCTAGAATCCAAATGGAACCACTCATCTCAAATCAATCTTTGGAAGTAAACGCTATCCAATCTGAATATCCCAATGCTTCACTATATGCACTAAAAAGAGTGAAATACTAATACATTGATTTCTTTCCAGATCGGGCTACGAACTATGCATTTCTGTATTTGTACTATATAGTTATAAAAATTATACTTCGTAAGATTACGTATTAATTAGATCTATCATTTTAATTAATTCTCTTAATATTAATTAGTTTAAGATGGGTAAAACACAAGCTAAAAATGAAAAACGTAGGTTAAAAAGACTTAGGAATAGAAATAATCAATTAGAAAATAAGTTAGAAATTATACCTTCAAATTCGCCAAAATCACAAGAGGTTACAAATCCTATCACAATTCACACACCAACAGTATCTTCTTCCAATACTATTTCAACGCTACAAAATACCAATTCAATCCCCATTCATACACTAACAGTATCTTCTTCCAACACAATTTCACCCATAAAAAATACCAGTTCAATCCCAATTTACACACAAGTATCTTCCAAAATTATTTCACCCCAACAAAATACAAATCCATTCCCAATTCGCAAATCACCAGTGTCTTCTTGCAATATTACTTTACCCCAACAAAATTGTCCCTCCCCACAAGCAAATACTACACCGGATGAATTGGACGGACTCGAAACGCTTCTGGACGAGAGATACAACCAGCAAACCCTTTGGCTTCTAAAGCATCCCCATCCTGAATTAATAATAGAAACACATTCCACAACTTCAACCCTTCAAGCACCGACCAGCCCTTCTGAGAAACTAAATACTTCATATGACAATACAATTCCATGTAAAATTTATTATGAGAAAAATGAACTAAAAATGCTTAAACATATTGAGAAAAAATCAAAAAATATTATTCATCATAATGTAGAAATAGGTAAATTAATGTTTAGTTTAAATAATTTAAAAATTGATTCTTCAACTAAAGTTAAAAAATTAATTACTAATCCATTTTATGGTTATTCTTTCCCTACTAGCATTAAAATATCTAAACCTAAAAATGTGAAAAAATCAAATACAAAATTATTAAAAGTGACTAATAAAATTAAGGAAAATCAAGCTAAGCAAAAATTGTTAGATAAAGAAACAGTTCGTACAATTAAACTTACCGATAGCCATAATAATAAATTAAAACCTAATTTAAAGGGTAAAGTTGACAAAAAAGCTAAAACAAAAAAGAATAATTCATATATGTCTAAATTTAAAAAGGGAAAATTTGTAGAATTAGAAAATCAAATGAACGAAATTTCAAATCATTTAAATTGTAAAAATATTCAGAATTTGGAGGAAATTCAACAAAAACTTAATCAGTGTCAAAATATTATTAATAATTTATTATTTTACTAAAATTAAATTTCAAAGTAAATTTAAATTAGAAGGGGTGAGATATGTTACAATAGTGTACAATGGTGTACTAGGATAATGCATTACGTAATAAAAGACCCTAGTTTTATGACCTAGCCTGTAGGTATAAATAAGCCTCCAAAATCTGTGTGAGAGGCAGATGAGATTTGTTCTTACTAGCGCACGGTTTCAACCTCTGGAACTTGAGCTTGGTAAATGTTAATAAATGCAATACACAAATGTATAAAAGAATGCGTTGCTTTCTTCATTAAATCATCATGTTTGCCATTCTAATGCGTAACATGTACCAAAACCTGGAAATATGTAAAATATGTAAAAACATTTTTTTGACCGTGTGACCTATGCCTGACCAGGAACAATATGCCAAAGTTTCAACCCGATCGGTTTATTATTCAAAAAGTTCAAAATACATACATAACCGGACTCTGGTAATTACGTACATATGTAAATATGTTCATACGTATGTATGTAAGTATAAACGTTAAAAAGTTATCAAATGTATAAATTCAATTTATACATTTATTAAATTGACATGAGGAATTATAAACTGCATGAATTTTAGAGCCAGATTTTTGCATAATAAGCAAATACATATGTACACACACAGATCGAGTCGTAAATAAATTCATATCGGAAAAGTTGCACAGTTTATTAGGTTATGTACAAAGGTATGAGCGAACTACTTCACGTTAATCTTAAAATTTGCATTGTACAAAATTAATATGTAATGTCACAAATCCAGTCCACAAGTTAAAAAAACTAATGCATTTAAGAAACCAATTACGGTACAGGTTTCTGCGAAAGCGTATTTATTTAGGAAATCATGCCTTCATACAAATCTTGGTTCCTCTTCTCGACTGGTAAATGATTCTCCTGGAGTTGACAAATTCTCGTGTCTTGGTTACGTAGGGGGAACAATTCGCAATGGGCGATTACGCCTCTTCTTCGCTCCCGGATTGGCGTGTACTTGCTCATGATACCGTAAATCACTGTTCCATTTGAAAGCCTTGTCACACTGGGTACACTTGAACCTCCTCGCCTAGTAGAACAATTAGTACTGATTTAAGGGCCAGTTACATAATTTAAAAAGTAAGTAAAAATTAGTAAGCAAATCTACACCGAACCTGTTCATGAACCGCAAGAACATGTGCGTTCAAGCTGCTTCTATGCGCGAACTGTTTTGGACACCTTGAGCACAAAAAGGTCGCTCTTTCTCCCCCCTCGGGGTGCATCCTCTTTCGATGAGTTAGCAAGTCATTTTGAAATCGGAACGATTTGGGACACTGATCACAAATGAATTCTTGCCTCTCTTCCTCAGTCGTATGGCGACGTTTACAGTGGTTTGTCAGCGAGGTCTTTTCGCGGAATGTGGCCCCACAAATTTGGCAGAGATGTGGCTTCTCGCCCGTATGGAGTCTTAAATGACTCCTAAAATTTATGAAGGAGATCATCTTATCGCAGTCGGGACAACGAAGTCGCTTTACGTCGGTGACGGGATCTTTGTCCTCGAACGTTCCGAAGCTATTGATCCCCTCGATGGACTCGGCTGAGTCGTGCACGGTGGAAAGGTGCGTGTGGAGGGAGAGTTTTAACCCGAATTTTAAGTCACAGAGGGGACACGGCCAAACGGGGGCTTTTCGGGGTATCGGGGTTTGGGAGGAGTGACAAAGCTTTTGATGGTATTTCAGAGTGATGGCGTGTTTCGAGATGATACCGCAATCCGGACAGGCGACGGGGGAGAGGAGTTTCCGCTGAGGTTTGATAACGTCTGTACAAGTAAGATAAGGAAATAAATTAATATGTCAGACATCTGGTATGGTTAGGCAGGTATTGATTTTTCGGTGGTGTTAAAGTTGATATAGCATGGTATTAAAATTTAATACCACTTGGTACTACTTTAATACTGTACTAGCGTATAGCCCGGCCAAGGCCGGGTTCTAGAGTTCCAGTGGGGGGTGTGCCCAAAGCGAAAAATCCGTCATACTATATTTTAAATAATTCCCAGTGGAGACTTTGTCATACTACATACATACATCAGACTGAGGGTTTGCCCAAGTCATACTGCATTTTAATTAACCTGGTCACAGTAAAATTTGATTTCCCCCTGTGGGAGTAGTTGAATAGCTAATTACTTAAATTCCCGTCGCGTGGGAGTAACTGCATAGCTAACTATTTAAATTCCCACGCTTCACGCTCCCGTTAAGTTCCATAAACCCCGTTAACTTCTACAATTAACGCCAAGCTATTGACGGATTCGGATTCAGCGTCAAAAATACATTCGAATTGATATGCGACATCACGAATAAGCCAGATTTGGACACCACGGTCACGGCGAGGTCACGGGGGCCTCGCAGGTCAAAACCATTGACGGCGTTGGATTCAGCGTCAAAAATACATTCGAATTGACATGCCACTCGCTGTGGGTAGAGTTTCTCAAACTAAAATAATTAATTAATAGTGTTTATCACGATCACTTATCATGATAACCACTATTGATGAGTGATGTATGTATGTGGGGTGTACATGTTCATGTATTCATTTATTCATGCAGTGCAGTGCATGCATGCAGTGGTTGCTCCGCTTCCTTCTTTGTCTACTGTATGGGGCAATTTGCATTGCGAAGACGGACCCAGGGACCCAGGGATCATACTAACACTTTATTAGAGTAGATTTTTAAGAGTATAGAGGGGACATTACTTTGATAATATCGTTTGCTGGCTTGTGTCTGTTTTTGGTTGACAGGTTTTCGTTTGCGAAGGGGGACGTCGGCACCGTCAGCATTGGGAGGCTCCTGTGAAACAAAAATTTGTAAGTAGTACATTGTAAAATTGTCGAAATTCGTCACTTTTAATTTGTTTAAGACAAAAATAGTTTCTTTTGCGTCTTTGTTAATTATTTTGAGTTTCATTTTGCATTTTGAAAGAATCTGTCATTTCATGTCACAAACCTGGTCATGAACCGAGGTCACGTGTCTATTTAAGTAGAGCCTGTTCTTGAACTGCTTAGGACACTTGGGGCACGACAAGTAAACTTTTGAGTGCTACAGCCTTCGATGGACCGTCAACGAGTATCGGGCTGGGAACGACTTGGGACACTCGTCACAAACAAATCCTGCTTTCTCCGTGGGATGTCTACATTGAAGGTGGAGGAGGAGTGCGACCTTCCTTGCGTATGCGGCCCCACACCTTGAGCAGACAAAAGGCTTTTCTCCCGTGTGAATTCGTAAGTGATCCTTGAACCGTGTCGGACCTTTCATTATTTTGGAGCAGTCGGGGCAACGGTACTGCTTGTAGTGGGTGATGGGATCGAAAACTTCGTATTTTTCGACACCCTCGACACCTAGAAGGGGAAGGAAATACATTTTTAAGTATGTGTAACAATGAGAGTATGTGGTAAGGTACACTCTTAGAAATCCAGTATTAAAATAATACCAGGCGGTATTCATATAGGATTCCCCCAGAGTGGTATTGATAAGTAATACGATGTAGTAATAGCTTGGTATTAAAGTTTTACCAGAGTTGTTATATTTAAATACTTTGGTATTTAAGATCAGTATTTAAATACCGGATTTGGGTATTTATTGTTTATTATTTAAAATCTAAATACTGAATTTCAAGTATTTAGTATTTATTATTTAAGTACCTGTGACCTGAGTGCATAAAATGTATTTAACTAGGGGAGCGTCCATAAATCACGTGATCGATTAGAGGGGGGGAGGGGGTCTGAAATTTGTCACGAATTATCACGGGGGGGGGGGGGGTAGATGGTCAGATGTCACGTGACATGAGTAAAGTTTTTTGCCAATAAATGTCATGAGAGTTTATATCGTGCGTGTGGTATGATACCACACGCACGTTATATAAATTTGATTTTCATTTTGCATATTTATAAACTTGCTTCGACCTAAATTCTTATGTCTGACTGGCGTATTAAATAGTTATTTACACATGTGTGTAATGTAGCTGTAATTTGATTAATGATTTAAAAAATATTGTTATTCCGGACATGATTTAATTTGAGCATCATCTCGTGTCACGTGACCGGTGGGGGGCGGGTAGCGAAATTATCACCACCGGTCACCAAGGGGGGGGGAGGGGGTCAAAATTGTCCAAAAATCGATCACGTGATTTATGGACGCTCCCTAGTTAGTATTTAAATAGTTTAAATATTGCAAGTATTTAAAAATTAATTATTTAAATATTAATTTTCTTCTACATGATGCAAAACTCGGATTTCGGTCGTTGTTAATTAACGAATTCATAGCATTCATTTTGGTTCTGAGGTATAGATTAATTTTATAGGAGCAAAATCGAGCAGTTTATTGCAACTCGTGTCTCAAAACATTTGAAAATTAATCAAATATGGGTGAGAATTTTAGATAAATTGAAAATTTAAAGAAATACTTAATTTGTATTCATTTGTATTCATTCATTTTCTCGTAACATAAATTATTAATTCCACATATTAGTCTAATTTTCACAAATATTATCAAACATTTCTAGTAGATAAATAAGCCTTAAAGTTTATCTTTTAAGCAAATGAGTTATTTTAGGGCTACCTCATATTGTTTGTTGGCGATTCTACTTGAGAGTATATATCTAAACTATTAAGAGTTGGTAATTCAGATGCTACCCCTATTTAAATACTATTTAAAGAGTATTTAAATAACTGGTACTTAAATACTTAAGATAGATCCAGGTATTTAGGTAATTGAGTATTTAAATACCTTGTCAAAATTCGAGTATTTAAGTATTTAGTATTCAAATATTTAAAACAAATTCAGTTATTTAAGTATTTAATACTTAAATACCACTCAAATATTCAAGTAATTAGAAATGAAGTATTTAAATACTTTTGAGGTATTTAAAACAACTCTGAGTTTTACCATATCAGTAGGAATTTTTTACGGATCGGTATAATTTTAATACCAAGCTGTAGCAACTTTAACACCGAGAAAGCAATACCTGGCTGGCAACAAATGTACACCAGATTTCTAATAGTGTAGATATTAATCGAGACAAAATTAATTTACGTCGACTCGGTCGTTTCCCTTTGGGGACGTGATAACGCGTTTGTTTGTGAGAGGGGACAAATTCTGGGTCGCCGTCTTCACAATTTGGGAGGATGTACTCGTCATCTTGTTCGGTCGGGTTATCATCAGCGTCGTCAGAATCATCGTTTAACCGTTGTTAAGGTATCTATGAAAAAATGACATTTTAGACATTTGAAACGTAACAGGTAATTCACGCGGTCCTTGGTAACTCGTAAAATCTGGAAGTTTTGTAAAATAATTTAACCGACTTTTACAAAATAAGAAGACGCCCTTGATCTGAGCAAGTTTACAAAAAATTGTAACCTAATTTTCAGAAAATTTTATAGGAACTTGTACGTTGAGTTTACAACGTTACGAAGGACTGCGTGAATTGCAATCCTAATGAGATAAGCTTTTTTACCATTTTCGCCAACTTGCACTTTCTCCCCAATGGAACTTCCCACTTGGCGATATCTTTCTTACTTAATCTGTCCAGCACTGGGCGAAGTTCACCTTTATCGCGTGGCTTTGTCTGACTTTTACCTTGACCTGTCCCAAAATTCTTGTCATTACTGCCGTCACGATTTCTATATATTATTAAATAATTAATAACATCGTACAAAAAACTGGAGTTTGACATATTTAATATGGTTAAAAGTCCCGTACACATTGCGTCGCCCTGAGGTAAGAACGATCGTTGGTTGAATCTTATTATTAACTCTCGAGCCTGGTGTCTCCTTGGCTGGGATGAATTTTAAATCTAAAACTATGTAAATGTGTCAACTTAATTGATATTTTGGGGAAAAAAATATTGAGACAATTCACACAGTCATGTAAAATAAGTACGTTTTATAAAATAAGATCACCAACTTTCACAAAATAAAGAGACGCCCTTGAACTGAAATGAGCAAGTTTACAAAAATTGTAAGCAAATGTTCTTTAGAAAAAGCTTCAAAATTTGGTAAAAGTTTGCAAGTTCAAGGATTTTACAATGTTAACAAGGACTGTGGGAATTCCCTCATTATTAACGAACCAAATACTGGCCCTTGTTATTTTATTACCAGGTCGTATACAACAATCAAGGTCTTCTTCTTCGTTGGGGCTGAAAGATAGGTCAAATGGGTCAAAATCGTCATCATCTACTTGATTCGGAGGACACAATTCTTCTTCAACTTTCACTTCAGCATCATCTTCATGCCCAATTAAAGAAGTGTCACAAATAATGGCATCTTCCACCTCGGACGTGAAGACGGACAAGAAGTCAGCGAAGGGCAAAGTCAAAATGTCGTTGAGCACGTTTATCAGTCTGGTGACACCAGTCGGGTTAGGATCTGTGTTTAAAATTAGTAAAATACAATGCTCTCAAGATAATAAAATTGCTCAATTTACTAAATTTATCTTGGTCGATAATTATTCCAGCGCGGCGACCAATGCGACGAATTCTTTGTCGAGTCTGAGCCACAAATTGTTTCAGGGATTCGACCTCCGCGGGCAACTCGGTCGCCAGGTCGGCCCTCATGTCGCCCTGGAGACAAACCAGACTAAGCGTTCCATAAAAGCATTTTCAATATTTCGCGATAGAAAGTGTTAAACCCGGGTTCTGGTGGGTATCAACTACCATTGCGCGTTAGTGTCGTATCCGTCGCACTTTGTCGCGCTCACTCAATCATGCGTCTAATCTAATTAACTATACTGACAATGAGGAGGTGTGAGGTGGTTATCACCGATATCCACCGGACTAATTTTAAATTGTTTACGTTCAAAAATAATTGGACCCGTATTTTTTCGTTTTCCTGAATGGGCATGTTTACGCCCTTGGCGGAATTTTCAAAAAAAATTTCAACCAAAATTCGGATTTTTAAAAACGCTGTAACTTTTCGAATTTTAACCCGATTTCAAAAAATAAACCCATTTTTTGTTCAGAATTACATCTCTGAAAATATAAAAATTCATTTTTATAGATTTTTTTGTAAGATTTTTTTGTAACTATGACATGCAATCCAAAATGGCCCGAAATAACTGATAACCTTCAATATGGCCAAAGAGCAGAATTTAGACCCGATTTAGTAACCAGGGTCTTTAACCTAAAGCTAAAAGAATTGTTGGATGATATTTCCAAAAAACATATACTTGGCATTTTAACAGCAAAAGTTCATGTAATTGAATTTCAAAAGAGGGGACTTCCGCATGCCCACATTCTTTTAATGGTTAAAAATGACGGTTCTGTGGATGCCGACAAACTTAATCAGCTTATATCCGCTGAAATACCAGATATTAATGAATATCCTCGGTTACATGCAGTTGTAACAAAGCATATGGTTCACGGCCCATGTGGTTCGGCAAATCTAAACTCACCATGTACGGGACCTGATGGAAAATGTACAAAAGAATTTCCAAAGCCATTCCAAAATGAAACTTTGGTAAACTGCGATGGTTATCCAAAATATCGTAGACGAAATACTGGCCAAACTGATGTAAATGGCAGATAGATTGACAACTCTTGGATTGTCCCATATAATCCATATATGAGCTTGAAATATAATTGTCACATTAATGTAGAAAGCTGTGCATCTGTAAAAAGTGTCAAGTACCTTTTCAAATACGTGTATAAAGGACATGACTGTGCAAATATTGCTATCTTTGAACAAGACGTCCTTAATCATGATGAAATTAAAACTTTCATGGACTCAAGGTACATAAGTGCTCCAGAAGCTGCTTGGCGACTTTTTGGCAATTCTATGCATGAGCAATCACATACAATCTATAGACTGCCAGTACATCTTCCGAGTGAACAAACTGTGTACTTCAATGCAGATAATGTGGAAGCTGCGGCCGCAAGAGCCGGATCAAAAGAAACTATGCTGACGGCTTGGTTTAAATTAAACGATACAGATGAAGATGCAAGGCTTTATTTATATGCCGATATCCCCGAACATTATGTCTTTAATAAAGTAAGTGGAGTCTGGAAACCACGTCAAAAAGAGACAAATAATACAATCGGTAGAATGTACCCTGTTAATTTATCTACCGACGCAGAAAAATATTGTCTTAGACTACTATTGCTTCATAAGCGAGGGGCTACTTCCTTTGAAGATCTTAGAACTGTAGAAGATGTAATCTATCCAACCTTCAAAGAAGCAGCCCAAAAAAGTGGCATATTTAGTGATGATGCTACTTGGGACTTTGCATTAACCGATGCAGCAATTTGGAAAATGCCTCGGCAAATGAGAGACTTATTTGCGTATATCTGCGTGTTTGCAGTTCCTCCTAACGCTTTGGAACTTTTCGAAAAATACAAAGCTGATTTGTATGAAGATTTTGCAAGAGATGCAAGGCACAGTCATACAGATAATTGCCAGCATTGTACAAATCTTGCTTTAGTAGAAATTCAAGCAATTCTTATCTTGAGCTACAAGAAATGCGAAGACTTTGGCTTGCCGTCTCCACCAGCCAACATGCGTGCGGCTGCGGACGAATATTTTGATGTACTTGCAGAGAAACAAAAAGGTGACGCATTGCAAGATACTCTTAACGGTGAGCAACGAAATGCTTTCGATACAGTATTAAATGCTGCCGAAAATGATAACCTTCCCCAGAATATTCTTTATGGATGGAGTTGGTGGAAGTGGGAAAACCCACGTCTACAAGACCATACTTTCCACAGTGCGTGGTGAAGGAAATATTGCATTACCTATGGCATCAACCGGGATTGCAGCCAATTTGCTTGATGGTGGACGAACTTACCATTCGCAATTTAAATTCCGCATTCCTATAGATGACACAACAACATCACCAATTCGATCGAAATCAGCAGATGCTGAGCTATTTAGACAAGCAAAATTGCTCATCTGGGATGAAGCTACAATGACCCCAAGTCTTGCATTAGTAGCAGTGGATAAATTTCTTAAAGAAGTGATGGATAATCAAAAGCCACTTGGTGGTAAAGTCCTACTACTAGGAGGAGATTTTAGACAAACGTTACCTGTAGTTCCTCATGCAAGTAGATCTGCCATTGTAGAAGCGAGTTTGAAATTTAACAGCTTATGGCGAAAAGTCAAAATTCTACACTTACTTAGTAATGTAAGGTCTGTAGACAAAAGCTATAGTGATTGGCTACTAAAATTGGGGGATGGGACATTAGATACTCCTCTTGGCCTTCCTAAAGATACAATTGAAATCCCAGAACAACTTATCTGTCGGGAGTCAATAATTTATGAAATATACGGAGAACGTCTTACGGTTGCCAATGTTGCCAACTTTTCAAAAATGGCAATTTTATGTCCAAAAAACATGGACGTTGACAAAATAAATGAAGAAATTTTAAATATTCTAGAAGGAAATTCGGTAACTTATTGCAGTACGGATTCCGTCGATGATGAAAGTGCAGAGGATAGACAACATTATCCTGTTGAATTCTTAAATGGTTTAACGCCATCTGGAATGCCTGTCCACAAGTTAAATCTTAAAAAGGGCAGCAATATTATGCTCCTTAGAAACTTAAATACGAAGCGAGGACTATGTAATGGCACCCGTCTAATTGTTGAAGACTTGAAGCCGAATTTAATAATTGCAAAAGTGCTTACAGGGTCTGCACAGCAACAAATTGTGTTCATTCCAAGAATCGATTTGTCCACTACAAATCAAGACTTTCCATTCGTTTTACGAAGAAGGCAGTTCCCAATTAAATTGGCATTTGCAATGACAATTAATAAGTCCCAAGGGCAAACTTTAGACAAGGTCGGAGTATATCTCCCTGAACCATGTTTTAGCCATGGTCAATTATATGTTGCCTTATCAAGAGTGCGACGCTTTGCAGATGCAAAAATTAAGATAATAGACGGCCCAGAACAGGGAAAATTAATTGAGGGCTCAGATAGAGTTTTTACCAAAAATGTGGTCTATGAAGAAATATTTGCAAGGCAATTAGACCCGGACTGTCAATAATTCAAATCAATTTGAGCTAGCGGTGGCTCAGACAAATGTACCGTCCGTGCTTTCTTAATAAAACAAAGAAAGCCTGTGGGGCAGCACGCAGAAGGGGGTCCACGTCCCCTGCCCTGGGAGGATATGATATCCTGCAAACGCTTCTGCAAAAATTACTTATAAAATAATACCGACAACAAAGACGTTTTATGTATGTAGATACATTCTAGGACCCGTCCTTGGACGGGCTATAGGCTAGTATACATATAAATGTACATACTAAAATACTAATTAATAACCCATTTGTTTACACAATAAAATAACAAAAATCTACATCAATACAGGCCGAGTTGTAATTAAATACTTTCATTTCATAAAAGTTGGAAAACCTTTATTAAAGTTACCTACACAGTTTTCTGAGTTACAAAAAATATGTGAGCGAATCACGTCAAGATAACTATAAAATTTAATTGTACATATCTGTAATTTCATAAAAAAAGTTCCAACCCTCCAGTTAATGAATTTAAAACACCAGTGAAAACGTATGTATTTAGGAATTTATGGCTTCAGTCAAATCTTGGTTCCTCTCCTCGGCTGGCCAAAGATTCTGGTTACGTTGGGGGAACAATTCGCACTGGGCGGTCACGCCTCTTCTTCGCCCCCGGATTGGCGTGGACTTGCTCGTGATACCGCAAATTGCTCAACCACTTGAACGCCTTGTCGCAAAGGGTACACTTGAATTTCCTCGCCTAGTAGAACAAGAATGAGTACTAATAGTGTTAGTTATACACAATTAAGTAAAAAATAAAATAAAATAAAAATAAACTAGCTGACAATTAGATAATATGGCTGTCATAATTAGCAAAGCAGTCGGATGGGGGCCGTGCATAACCAATGTACGTGGTCGATTTTTCTACCCTATAAAACTTTCAGATTGATTCAGTGTTTGATTTCTTGCACCGCACTTTAAAAAAATAAATTATACAATATTTCTTTTTCTTATTTTCACGGCAAACGCGTGAATTATTGGCAGCTTCAGTTATGTATTTAAAAAAATCGACCAAATACTCCACTTTATGCACGACCCCACCAAATTCCCTTATACCTGATCGTGGACTGCAACCATGTGCGAGTTCAAGCTGCCTCTCTGCGAGAACTGTTTCGGGCACTTTGCGCATAAAAAGGTAGCTCTTTTTCCCCCCTTTGGGTGCATCCTACTTTGATGAATTACCAGGTAGTTTTGAAATCGGAACGATTTGGGACATTGATCACAGATAAATTCTTGGCTTTCTTCCTCAGTCGTATGGCGACGTTTACAGTGACTTGCGAGTGACGACTTTTCGCGGAACGTAACCCCACACTCTCAAAAATGTACCATACTTCTCGAAAAGTAAAAAAGAATGTAACCCTGAACTGAGCATACGAAGGTATTTTAAAGTAAATCCAGTTGCTCTCGTATTAGTAAGCGATCCTTTTAACTCTGAAAGAACCATACTTGAGAATAACTTAAAAATGAGTCCACGTCTACTCCAATTAAAGTTAATCGAACTTCATTCCGAGTAAGCCTGTCGCAATTCGCCCGCCCTTCTTGATTTCTACCTTGGAGTTTGTTAGTCTATTCCAGACTTACATACACATTTCCCTCGTGAATTTCGAAATTTAAATTCCCATTTCAAAAGTTTCAAAAATGTGTGATACGGAAATCCAAAGATTATTATTTCCACTTAATCTTGGAAAATACTGTTAATTGTTTAAAGGTAAGATCTATTTTAGATTCATTCCATTCTCTATTTTTACAAAATAAACCCAAACTTTTGCACATTTTTTAACATAGATAATAATCTAACCGGAATCTTTACAACACCTTCAAAAAGATGACCTCATCCACGTCGTCCCACCTTTTCAACCTAATCTTCCACCCATTGTCAAGGACAAATTGATTGGACAAATTATGCAGAATATTTAACTCTGTTTCTCAGGTTATTTAGTGTTAATATCTCATTTTTTGCCATGCTGTAATATTATTTTTAACCTACATACATATGACAGTAATTGGATTGTAAAACTTAGTAGTTGTGAAATAATAAATAATCAATTACATAAATATATATTTGCCATTTTTAACTGAACTTTTAAATTAGTAAGGCGAGCCCCGGACAGAGTAGGTCATATACTCCAAACCGTGTTCACGTTTACTTAGAATCGGGCAAAATTGCATCATATAGAGTAACATCTTACTATGTGTCGTTCAAGCCTTGTGCATAATTTGGAGCATGCTACAACTCTGAGCGGAGTAAGACTAGTTCCTGCACGCATTACTCCGGGCAGCGTCGAAGCACTTTGACTACGTATTAGAGTGACATTTTACTTCATTCGAAGTGAAAATTTTTAAGAGTGCACATATTTGGCAGAGATGTGGCTTCTCGCCTGTATGGATTCTTCTGTGACTCCGAAAACTTATACAGGAAATCATCTTGTCGCAGTCGGGACAACGATATCGCTTGATGCCGGTGACGGGATCCGTGGCCTCGAACGTTCCCCAGCTATTGATCCCCTCGATGGACTCGACCGAGTCGTGTACGGTGGAAAGGTGCGTGCGGAGGGAGAGTTTTATCCCAAATTTTAAGTCACAGAGGGGACACGGCCAAACCGGGCCTTTTCGGGGTACCGGGATTTGGGAGGAGTGAAAAAGTTTTCGATGGGATTTAAGAGAAAGAGCATTTTTGGAGACGAGGCCGCAATCGGGACAGGCGACGGGAGGAAGGAGGTTCCGCCTGGGTTTCATAATGTCTGCAAATATGTAAGATAACGCAATATTTGGATTAGTTAATGAGCGGTATGATACTCTTAGAAATCTTGTATTATAGTTAGACAGGTATTGATTTCTCGGTGTTAAGCTAGCTATTACCACTTGGTATTAAAATTATACCGGTTTCGTAAAAATTTTCTACCGATATGGTAAAGTATTAATACGGAGCGAAGTATTACAGAACGGTATTAAAAAAAGACCTTGGAAGAGTCTTATATAATACCGCTTGGAAAATTTTACTACTGGATTTCTAAGAGTGCATAGGTAGAGCGCACATTACTTTGATAATATCGTAGTCTCTGTTGTGGGGTGACAGGTTTACGTATACGTTTCCTAGGGGGGACAGATTGGCCGTCGGCATGGTCCGCACCGTCAGCAGGTTTCTATGTATCAAACCAGAATTTGCGGTAATTTTAATTTGTAAGTAGATAGATGGATTTTTTATGAAAATAATCGAGAAGGATGAGAAAATATCCAATTTAACTGTTGGAATTTCCCCACCTGAGCATTTCCCTTGGGAACGACATCCTTTTCACTTTTCTCGACCTGGTTGGCCTGGCGATCCCCCTTTTTACTTTCCCCTTTATACCCCTCCTTCCTCCTGTTCGGATTGTCGTGACTTTTCACATGAATACGTAAAGCACTCCCCCGCGTGAACGCCATGTCACACAGGGTACACTTGAATTTCCTCACCTGGCAGAAACATGATTAATTGGTATTAATTATATCTGACGATTATGTAAATACGTGTAAACGAAACTCTGAAACCTGGTCATGAACTGCAACCACGTGTCTATTTAAGTATCTCCTGTTCTTGAACTGCTTCGGACACTTTGGGCAGAAGACGTAAACTATAGGCTTCTTCGCCATTAGGTGAATCCTTCGATGAGTCATCAACAGATATCGGACTGGGAACGACTTGGGACATTGGTCACAAAAAAATTCCTTTTTCTCCGTGGAATGCAGACGTTCAAGGTGGACGAGGAGTTCTCTCTTTCTTCGGAATGCAGCCCCACAGGTGGCGCAGACACAAGGCTTCTCTCCCGTGTGAATTAGTCTATGTTCCTTGAAATGTGTCGGAACTCTGATTATTTTGGAACAATCGGGACAACGGTATCGCTTGGCGTGGGTGACGGGATCGAAAACTGCGAATTCGTCGAGTCCGTCAAGGTCTAGAAGAGAAGGAAATATGTAAACACCTTATTGTATCAAAATAGGTGGCAACAGAAGTTGGAGACAGTAACATTTTAGCATAGGAGAAGCAGGGGCTATCAATATTGGAAGGATATGCATTTTCTGAATTTCTGGGGACAATTTCCACCGCCAATGAATGGTAATGGTAATGGTAATGTTTGAGTGAAAATGAATTTACGTCGATTCGATGGTCTGCCTTTGGGGAAGACGGGAAAACGCATTTGTTTGTGAGCGGGGGCAAATTCTAGGTTGTCTTCAGAGGAAGAATTACAGCTTGGGAGGGTGTACTCGTCATCCTGCTCGTTCGGGTTATCGTCAAAATCGTCGTCCAAACGTTGTTGAGGTATCTGTAAAACGAGTGATTTTAGATTTTACACTTTTCAAAAATTAAAATTCAATTCACCCAGTCAGTGGTAACATTGTAAAATCATTAAGTTTTGTAAAATATGTAATTTTACAAACTTTACAAAATAAAGAGACGCCCGTGAGCTGAAGAAATTTGTAAATATTCGTATGCAATCTAATGTTCCTTATATATATTTGAAAAGTTTCGAGAACTTTGTAAGTTTCTGGATTTTACAATATTACGAAAGCCTGCGTGAATTGCAGTACTCCATGGGTTCAACTGTTTTTTACCCTTTTCGCCACCTTGCGCTTTCTCTCCAACGGAACTTTCCACTTGGCGAGATCTTTCTTACTTAATCTGTCCAGCACGAGGCGAAAGTCACGTTCACCAAATGACTTAGTGTGACCTTGACCTGACCCAAGATTCTTGTCAATATCGCCATTTCTCCCAGTGCGATCACGATCTCTGCATATTTTAAAATACATTGTGAAAAAAACTGGAGGTTGACGTATTTATGTATCTAATATTTTTAAAAGGCTCGTACATCTTGCGTCGTAATTTATTTCCCGTGGTAAGAATGATCTTTTCTTGATTCTTATTATTAACCCTCGAGCCTGGCGTCTCCTTGGCTAGGATGGATTTTAAATCTAGAACTAAATGGGACAACTTAATTGATATTTTGTTAAAACATTGAGGCAATTCACGAAGTCATTTAGTAACGTGTAAAATCCATAAATTGGATAAAATAATTTCACTAAATAAAACTCTCCAGAAATACTTGGAAAATTCTGACAAAACTTTATTAACGATATTTACGGATTTTACAATGTCACCAAAGCCTGCGTGAATTGCCTCGTTATGTAATTAATGAACCAAATACTGGTCGTTCTTATTTTATTACCAGGTCGTATACAACATTCAAGGTCATCTTCTTCGTCCGGACTGAAAGCTAGGTCAAAGGGGTCAAAATCGTCGTCATCTTCTTGACTTGGAGGAGAAGGACACAATTCTTCTTCCACTTTCACATCAGCATCATCTTGACGGTCCTTTTTATTAACACTCGTGGCTAGAATGGATTTAAATCTAGAACTGAATGTTTCTTCAAAAGTGATATTTTGTAAAAAAAAAAAAAAAAAAATATCACGCAGGTATTGGTAACTCGTAAAATATGTACGTATCGAAAAATTATTTTACAAACTTCCAAAAAAGAAAAACACGCCTTTCATCTGACGATTAGTAAGTTTACGAAAAAACGGATTACGGAAGCCTCTTTTGCTTAGAAATATTTGTAAGAAGTTTACAGATTTTACAATATTACCAAAGCCTTGCGTGATTGCCCATTAACTTAAGTAATTATTTAACCAAATACTAATCCTTGTTATTTTATTACCAGGTGGTATATAACTATTAAGATCTTCTTCTTCGTTTGGATTGAAAGATAGGTCACAAGGGTCAAAATCGTCATCATCTTCTTGACTTGGAGAAGGACACATTTCTTCCTCCACTTTCACATCAGCATCATCTTCATCGCCAATTAAAAACCTACAGTGCAGACTCCATATAGCCCGAGTCAGGGACATAGTCCCTGACTCAATAAGTCAGAGCCCGCTTCTAAATTCTTTTCCGAACTGACCGACATAATATCACCAACTTCCGTGTTGTGGATGGTTAAAAGTTTGTTAGATAGTTTCTATTATTTGGTACCAAATTTTTGAATTAGTTACAAATCATGTGCCTTGACCACCATGACCAGTGGCTTCTTTAACAACCTGAAGTTCTAAGCTGTATGTATGTGCTATTCAGCCTCCAAATCAAATTTCAGCTCGATATAACGATTTTTAAAAATCAGTATGGGTCACCCCATACTGATTGCACTCTGGTCACTTTGGTCTGGTTGCACTTTGTTCACTTTTAACTTCATATTCTTTAATTAGCAGTCATTAAGTATCATTGTGCCGGATTTCATCTTTTTAAAACAATTTCTAAAAATCGGTATGGGTCCCCCCATAGGGGCGTTCCAGATAAAAATTTTACCAATATCATATCATATTCTTTTATTAAGACCCATAAGCAACCTCTCCACCAAATTTCAGTTCGATATGATGGTTTTGAAAAATCGGTATGGGTCACCCCATAGGGTCACTCATGATGAAAATTTTTCCAACCTGAAGTTATTTTTTTCTATTAGGAGCCATTAGCAACCTCTGTACCAAATTTCAGCTCTCTCCAACAATTTTGAAATTTTGGTGCATAAGACCCCACCCACTCCGATGACCCCCACCGGTCAACCACTGGACCGATTTCGCCCATCTTCGAACTCGTTTCCTAACTTTGTCCAATATGCATATGGTAAAAATTTCAAGTCAATCGGTTCAGCCGTTTTGGCTCTATCGTGCCGGACAGACAGACGGACAGACAGACAGACAGACGGACGGACATGACGGTTCCATAAGCCCTGTCTCGGGCTAAAAAGTGTCACAAAAAATGGCATCTTGGACCTCAGACGTAGTGACGGACAAAAAGTCGGCGAAGGGCAAGGTCAAAATGTCGTTGAGCACGTTTATCAGTCTGGTGACACCAGTCGGGTTAGGATCTGTGTTTAAAATTAGTAAAATACATTGCCCTCAAGATAATAAAATTGTTCAATTTACTAAATTTATCCTGATCGATAATTATTCCAGCGCCGAGCAATGCGACGAATTCTTTGTCGAGTCTGAGCCACAAATTGTTTCAGGGATTCGACCTCCGCGGACAACTCGGTCGCCAGGTCGGCCTTCATGTCGCCGTCCTGTAATTTAAATTTATTGTGTTAAATTTTAACACTTTGCGTAAAAATAACCTTAAATTATTGAGGTTCTTAAAATACGAAAGATATTTTTAATTGTGTCACTAAATAAAAATTACTAAATCCACTCACCTTAAAGGTTACAGCTTTACCAATTCTGAAGCTATAAATTGTTTAAAATTCGAAATATATAAATACTCATGTTTTATAAAATGTGGATTAAACATTAAGGGGCCGTCCATAAATTACGTAACGCAAGAGGGGGGGAGGGGGGGTCATGGGAAGTGCGTTACGAATTGTTATGAAGGGGGTGGGGGGTATAAAAAATTTGTTACGTAACACATTTAATAAACTCGACTAAAATTCGCCAAATAGGATACGCCGAGCATATTGAATTCATGTCATCCAAAGGGTTTCAGTGTACGCATGTAAATATACATTTTTCATTAGTTTTCCAGGTGTAAATTGAGAAAAGGTTGCATTACAGTGGGGAATTTTAGGCCGAACCGGTCAAGAAAGGGGGGGGGGGTAACGAGTCCATCGTTCAATTCTGTTACCAAGAAATATACCAAAAAATCTAGTTTATTTTTACATAGATATGTACAACCAGATCAATTCATTTGCTTCATTTTGAAATATTTAAGTGCAAAGTTGTCACAAATTTTCTAGCTCAATGCAAAAAAGTTTGCGGTCAAAAGTTTGACCTTAAATATCTCAGAATGGAGTAACCGAAATAACCTGGTTATACAGGTAAAAATAAACTGGATTTTTGGCTCTATTTTGTGGTAACAGAATGAGAGATACCCCCCTTTCCTTTCATCGGTGCGGCCCCAAAATTCCCCACAATGCATTGCGAATGCTAAGTAAATCACCTGCGGTGAAATCAAATTTATGTTACGTTACGAAGGGGGAGGGGGGGGGGGTAGTCGAGAAGCGTTACGATGCCGTTACGAGAGGGGAGGGGGGGTCTAAAAAATGACGATTTTTGCGTTACGTAATTTATGGACGGCCCCTAAATAATATTTACTTTCACATCATCACAGCTGCATTGCACAAATAACAAACCCGCACAAAATTCTGAACTGAAAATCTCAAACATTTTCCATTCTCTAAAAAAATTCTATGAATTTGATCGTTCCAAGATTTTATCTAAAATTATAATTTTTTTCATGTAAGAATTCTACTCACAAAGAAATTTCCTGCATGATGAAATGCATAACAATTACATTTGAACTATAATAATAAGAAAATTAACCAGAAATAGTTTTACTTCTTCATGTAAATAAATAAATAAATAAATAACAATTTGAATACTTTTTAGAAATTCGATCCTCCAAATAGAAATTTATTTAAAATAAAACAAACAACGGTGTTATGAACTTGTAACTTTTTGTGTTCGAATATTTTACAGTTTTCATGGAAATATTTTCATGACGAATTCATGATGGAGGCAAAGTGAGACGAGCGTCCCCGATTTGCGAAGTACTTTCTCCGTGTATCTCTTCTGCTCGTGGACTCTGCGCTCGCTGAAAGCACATGTTGCGAGTGGAAATGCAAACCCAATGTTATTCAACTCTGAGAAAACCATACCCTGAAATCCACGTGCAAAATTTCTCATGTGCAAAACTGGTTAGCGTTCAATAGTTGCAGGATTTTGGTACCTTATTAGTAGATCTATACGTAGGTATATAGTTATTGCCGTATTAATACTGTCTTAATTAATATTAAACATAACATATTGAGACAACATTAACATGTTAGATTAATTTTTAAATTAGTTTCTGCGTATAAAAATGCACATATTGTTTCGAAATTGTATTCCGAAAATGATATCAATTCAATCGGACTACCCTTTCCTGATTATCTTCCAGCCACACCTCTTGACCTGGGGCGGAGGGTGTGGTTATATCATAAAAAGCGAAATCAAATAACTTTTGACATAATAGAATGCTGACCAGGACTACACCCCCCTGTTAATCAGGGGGTGTTGCTGGGGGGAAATTGAGATTGTTGATGAAAGTGAAACTGCTGCTGACTAGCACAAATAATTTGACTGTATATATTTAGTATGCTGTAAATATGCAGTATGAGTGAACTGATTCAGCGAAGCATTGAGACAATTTTTAAATAATTAGATGCTAAACCTGGGTAAAAGTTTATTCTCAACTGGAGAATCTCCAGTCGAGAACCACCTCGATAAAAAAATAAAACCGTTTCTCAAATACTAAATTTTATTAGTTTGAGTCAAGCCAAGCTACGAGAAAGAGGCATTCTACTCCCGTTAAATAAGTTGACACGGCTCTAAGTTAGCACCAATTCTTTCCACTTTCCTCGCCAACATCATTATTTTTTCAGTTTTCTGGATAAAACCCAGAGAACAATTTAATTCGGATAAAAAATGTCGGAAACTTGTTGTTGCGGGTGCTGCACGGTGGGAAAGGGAACGCTCATCATTGGAATTCTCAATATTGTAAGAATTCGTATTACACAATTAGTTAAACAGAATTATCAAAAGGAAATCAATTTATTATCAATAAAATTGCAATTGTGCAGAAAACAGTGAAGGCATTCCTTGGTATCATTCGTTTTTTTGTATCGTAAAATTACTTACGACGATTACAAGATTTTGTAGGCGTCGGAAAATTCTGTGATCGAAAATCGCGTTACTAAGGTTACAATTTTTTACGAAAAGGGGCCCCTTGTTTTTTCTTTGCAAAGTATTTTATGAAACTAAGGATATGAACAGATAATGAATACCGTCAATAAGAAATAAAAATGCGAAGATTTAGTATTGTACTATCGACTGCATTTTACGCGGAATTGAATAATTTTTTCAGGTCGAATGCATCGTCTCCCTTGTACTGCACTCTATTCGTCTCAGTTTCATCATAAAGTACCCCGAACAAGTCAAGGAAAACGATTTCCCACCCTTTCCACAATTTACGCATACAAAAAAAATAATTTCCCCAGCCAATCTCTGCATCGCGTTCAGTAGCACCCAGATCTTCGTGACGATCGTGTACTTGATCCTGGCATGCCTCATGGTCCATGGATATCGCGTGGTAAGCTGTACATATATTTCTGCTGAAATTAGTGAAATTTGAATAAAAATATTGGGGGTAAGTTTTAGTAAAAGTTCCCCCCCCCCACTTGAAAATTCACCTACGAACTGGCCCATCTCCTAGACTAATATTTAGTTGACCATTTTCTTTTTTTAATTATGTTGCGATGGCGAACTCGTAAGACAATGTCGATATGTTATGTTATCATAAAAACGACGATTTATAGACCAACAAGCTTATCCCCTTTCTGATCTTCATGTTAATCTTAAAACGAGTAAGAAGATACAAGACCCACACACCTTTATGACATAACATTTTTTATTACATAATATGTCCCTTAATGAATATCCCTATTGGTGGCATTTTTAGCCGAATCACCGTTTCATCAGGCCATGGTTGATCGGGTACTATGGGCTCCTTTCCATGGCTGCTGTCACGATTTTGGCCATGTTTTTCATGGTCGCTGTGGCCGGGTACGTCGCCGCGGGATTTATTGTGCTCGCTATAGGTGGGCTTTTGCTGGCAGTGCAGACCTACTTTGTCTTCGTGGTGAAAAGATTCGTCGACGAGTTGAAGCGAGGCGCGATTTATTAAAGTTATGAAAACAATATTGGAAAAGTACATAAAATGCTTCTTTAAAAAATTCAATTTTTTCTTAGGAAAATACATATATGTATGCTAAATTTGCTTTGTCACATATTTTATCAACTATTTGATACATATTATGTATAAAAATTATAATTATGCTCATAATGTACAATATAAAAATTGTGTTATTTTAATCGGCACAACTGGCACAAGAGGACATGTTTATTCAAGAGGATGTGTTTATTATTTTGCACGCTTTCGGATAAACATGCAGCATTTCTTTATCGGACAAAGCGGAATCGATAAATGAAAAATTTTGTCAATAATTAAATAAATTCAATTGGTGAAAAGTATTGATAATTGCTTGCTTACTTTGTACATATGTGTATACATGGCTATTTACAGTTTACAGGTACTTATTTCATTAATCCTGCAAGATCACATGGCATCATGTCCATTGCATATACAGTACTTAAATATGTATGTACATATACATGAATATCTGCATAAAATATATTCGTCATCATTGTACATATCCAGAAATGACCAAGTTTATTCCCCTTCAAAATTTCGTTCATGCTGGAACTGGAAGGAGGAAGGAAGTCAACTTTCCCCTTTGCTGGCTCTGTTACCCAAAACTTTCCCCAACTTTCGCTTGGTCACCCAACCAACCTTTACATTAAGAGCAACAATTGACTGTCGGTGGCAGCCTGGCTCAAAGCGTAAACTGTGACCACGAAAGAACCAAATTCCCAATTCTTTTGAGTAAATCTTTTGTCCTTCTAAATACACAATGAATGGTCCCCTCGTATGCTGCTTAGCTCACTCGGTTACAAAACAATTAGTAATTTTAAAGAGGAATTAGGTATAAAAGGAGTAACTTCTTTAAAAAAATTTAGAAATGGAATCCTCCAAGTAGAAATTTATTTCAAACAATGTTACGAACTTGTACATAGTTTTTAAGGGACAAATATTTTACAGCTCTTTTTATTTATATAAATAGTTTTTCATAAGTTTGATGTGAAACATTCAGTTCGAGGAGAAGTTAGACCATTGTCTGCAGTACTTTATCATAATTTGTATAGTGTATTTTCATGCTTATCTCCTGCTCGTGGACTCTGCATTGGGAGAAAGCACCTGGTGAAAGTTTAACATGCAAACTCAAAAACTCTGCATTAAAAAGATACCGTAAAATCGAAATTCTTAAGTTTGTTACATGCATGTGCAAAAAATATATACGAAGTTCTACACTGAAATGCAGGCAGCTTTCATTCTTGAGGATTATATATGTACTTGGCAAGGAAGAGCATGTTATTTGGTCGTCAGTATTTAGATCCTTAAGCATTTAGATATTTAGTTACTACCGTATTGAGACGAACTATGCACGTAATGCTGAAAAATTAAGGTCAACTCATTCAATGTTAAAATAGGTATGTTAATAGTCTACCGCAGTTTTAATCCATTTGACAAGAACTATTTTAATACAGATTTGAATGTGACGTGTTTAAAGACATGTATTTTTAGTTTGTGGTTTTGAATGTAATTTTTTATCTTCATAATGTCACACGTTCAAAATTCAACCAATCGCGAATTGAGTAAATATGTTTGGCCACAAATTATCATAAAAGCTTTTCATACTCAATCTCACTAATATTGAAAATTTCATTCAGCCTGACACCCCCTCACTATTTAGTTGCTGCAATAAATTAATCAAATCATATACTCATTTAAATCGCGATCTAATTACTTAATTGTAATCCCAAATATTTAACTTGGTGCATTTACTTAATTGAAAAACCTAAATGTGTTCCATTTGTTTGCCCAATTATTTATGTAAATAAATACCGTCGTAGCTAAAAATTCTCAATTTGATGAAACTGTCAAGCCACACTGCATTTAGAATTTGTCCCTCAAAAAATGGGCCACCATGCGCTGCGCTTATCACAAATTTTAGGCTATTTTCCAGTACCAATTAAAAATGGGAATCGTACCCTTCTTCCGATTACGTCAACCATAATATTTTGTCTTCTTGGGGTTGGGAATATTCATCTATTTATTCCCTACTTGTCTGAAGATCCGTCGATAAAGGGGGCTACGAGGGGGGGCCGACAACTAGTGACGAGCACTTACTACTCAACCATCCTGATTAAAGGAGCAGTCCACATCTTCGCCGTCGTATTCATTAGGGTCACACTTTTTCTGAACAGGGAAGAACTATCGCAATTTTACGGTGAATTCAACCGCTTGGTGGAAACATTTTCAATTTTTTCTCGAAAAGCGAATATTTCTGAAGAAGCAAAAAGAAAAACGCCTCCTGCAGTGGGGAATAGATATGATAGACGATTACGTATCGAGCTGATTATGCTCTATTTGTTGTGGATCGCATTCATTGGTGACATGTGGGAGGGATATCTAGCAAATCCAAATAAAGGAGGTACATTTCAGAGGTCGACGCCGATGGTACCATCGGCGGCGGCGGCTTGAATTTCACTAAGGGTCGGCGGCGGCGGCGCGCCGCGCCGCGCCGGTATTTTGCCGGCGGCGGCGCCAAATGCTAAATAGTTTCCTAAGAGCTTTTAAAGAGCTATCTTGTACTTTATCGCTCGAAAAAAAGCAGTCGGGTAAAAATATATGTACGCAATCTTTTATGTGTTTCCACATGTCATAGTTTTAAACCCTTATATGTACATAAAAGCGTTATGTCTCCCGGTCTGTTTCTGTGCACGTGGGTAGATGTAGGATAGGGGACCACTGATAACGTCAAAGGTAAAAAATGGAAAGCACTTTTTAAGCTAAAATTATAACATCTCCGATTTTGACAAAAGCATTCTCATTTTTTACCGTCTAATCAAATTTCACCTATTTTTATAAAGCTGCAAGTTGGTTTTGATTATGTCGCATTACTTCAAGTCATTGCTCAGAATTATTCGGGGGGTTTTAACACTTCCGCGTTATTCAGTCTTTGTAATTTAAATTTAGCATTTTGAAGATTAAGATATCAATTCTTTAATTAAAAAAGATTTCCACCCGCAAATTTTGGAAATTAAATATATTTGCATAGTAAACTTTGCAAATTTTTGGAAAGTTATTTCGGGTACAATTTCCCAGTTTCGTGATAAAATAAATCTTTATAATCGCGTTTTGAAGCCATTATACAGACGCGAATTTAAGATTACGCCAAAATAAGTAACTTATCTTCAAAAACACAAATTAATTGAAAATTCAGCTGGTAAAAATCATGGAAAATTTTTCCTATTTTTCATAAATATTTATTCTAATGTTATTCTAATACATTGTACATATTTGTCATGAATAAGAGATTATCAAATGAAAACTCTAGTTTGGGACTGAAACTATTGTTAAATGATGTCTTTTATAATTATAATTAGACAAAAATCTAGTATTCAAGCCAAAATAAAATCGCCGTTAATTTTTTTCGGCGGCGGCGGCGGCGGCGCGCCGTGAATTTTTTCCGGCGGCGGCGGCGCGTAAAAAAGTACCGGCGTCGGCGGCGTCGGCGGCGTGTGGTCGGCGGCGTCGACCTCTGGTACATTTGTTTGAAAAATACACATTTATTCATTCAAAATTCATTAATTTTTAAAATTTGAATAAATTATTCAATCAGTGTTTATTTATTCAAAATTTGATAAAATTATACATACATAGTTTGTTTATTCTTCATTTTATCGCGAATGAATTTTTCAATATGCCCTAAATATTAAGGATAGGACGAAAAATGAATAATGAACAAAAGAGTTCATTCATCCTTTATGAATACGAAATGAAATATTTATACAGTATTCGCTTATTCAAAATGTTAATAATTTATCACCTACATAGATATACATATTTTATTTCCAGTGACTCTGATATCCACCCTGGTAATAGTACTTCCCCCCACGCTGGGCTACCTCCACGCCATTTTCCCTTACCTCCTCATATTTTTTCTTAATTGGTACCTGGAAATATTGTGTGAATTAAGAGCGTCTCACTTCACCCTGGTCGACACCCGTATCCCGCTATATAATCGATTAAGTACCAACGTTTCCTCGTTCGTACGAGTCTTTGGAACTTGCATCGTCATCGATATGGCCCACAGCGTGATGCGGATCGTATTTTGCGCCTACTTCGTAGCTTCAAGTGCCTCCACCCCCTTCGTCAATGTGAGGGGAATGGCGTCCGATGTTTTCACGGTCGTGGCATATTGCTATCTTGTCTTTACCATTTGTTCGAAGGGGGCCCAGCTGGAGGGCAAGAGTGGCGATTTTATTAAAAGTTGTGACGATGAAGGTGACCAACTGTATGGGGATGGAAGACTCTATTTTGTAAAATCATGTCGCCCCAGGTTAACCAAGAATTACTTGGACACGGAATATTTTAGAGTGAATCTAGGCCTAATTACGCCGGTAAGTTCGAATGATATGTCATCAACTACACTGGTCGAAATCTGACATAGTCATGCAGGCATTTATTTCAAGTTGCTGCCGTCTGATATTAAAATTATACCAGTCCCTAAAAATTTCCTACCGGTATGGTAAAATTTTTATACCGAGCTATTACTACAACGCATAACTTCTCAATGCCAATTTTGATAAAGTCATGCATGAATACAGAGGGTATTATTTTTTTACTGGATTTCAAAGAGTGTATGAATTTGGTTTTTAATTGATCGAGTTATATTATTAATGGGCTGCAACAATATGTATATGATTTTTAATGCATAATTTCTAGATTGTTGGAACCGTCATCACAAATTTGATTGTACTGATGCAGTTTCAAAATGGGGACAAGACACGAGTTACGAATTGCGTTCATAATGAAGAATGAACTTCTCACATAAGTTAACATGTTGTCTTATGGATTACACACACAATCGCAATTTTGTGAGAAGAAGATAATGACTTAAATGTATAAGATACATACTTACGTACGTTTATTACAAGATTTTAACAAATATTTGCCAATGTATTCATTGTTTAAATACTAGTATTCTAACGCAGTTTTAAATTCGTTTTACAAAAACTACTTAATATTAAATTTTCGCTGGTTGAGATATGTTTAAATAAGTACGTGGTTCTGAAGGGAATAATCAGACATCAAATTATCTTCTTGATTAAATAAAAAATATTCTCTAATCTTACACTCGAAAATTAAATCATGAATTGAGTAAAAATGTTGTGTCAGAAATTGCCATACAAAGAAGCATATTTATGTACATGCATACCTATTTACATACTTAATATCACTAATGCTGCTGAAAAGGCCATTAAGCATATGTACCTGCCAGCACCACCAGCAACGTAATAAAATATAAGTACCTATATACTTCAATACCAATTTTACTAATCGTAGTTCCAAATATGTATTTTATTTGGTGCATTTATTTAAATAACTGAATAACCTAAATTGTTCTCTTAATTTGTTCCATAAATAACTCACTCATTACGTAATTGAATAACCTAAATTCGTTCCCTTAGTTTGATAAATTGCAACCTTACATGACTACCATCATAGCCAAAATTCCCTACTTGACGAAACCTTCAAACCGAAGTGCATTTAAAATTTGTCACTCAAAATGTGCACCAATGTTCTTCGCGTGTCTCAAATCTTGGGCTACTTTCCAATACCAAATGGAAGTCGTCGTAAAATTGTAAACTTTCTCCCAATCGTGTCAACCCTAGCATTCTGTATTTTTGGGGTTGGGAATATTTTCATATTCGTACCCTTCTTGTGTGAAGAGCAGTCGATAAAGGGGGCTACGACGAGGGGGGGCCGACAACTAGTGTCAAGCACGTTCTACTCTACCATCCTAATTAAAGGGGCGGTACACATTTTTGCCGTCATTTTTGTTCGATTCACACTTTTTCTTAGGAGGGAAGAACTGTCACAATTTTATCGTGAATTTATCAGCTTGTTGGAAACATTTTCAACTTTTTCTCTTAAAACCAATAGTCCTGAAAAAGTAGCAGAAACTGGTCCGGCAAGAAGGAACAGATATGAAATAAGATTACGTCTCGAGTTGATCTTGCTCTATTTATCATGCATCGCATTCATTGCTGACATGTGGGAAGGATACCTAGTAAATCCAGTGAAAGGAGGTACACACTAATTTACAATTATGTAAATATATATATATTTAAATACAAGTAGGAAGTTCTAACAATATTTCGGCAAGTATCTTTTAAACAGGATTTTAAAGATTTTTTTCACGTTTATTTCAACTCGATAGCTTGCCATTGTGAAGTAATTTTTCAATCTTATACATTAAGGTTGCATACATAGAATCTCACTTTACCCCCATTCAATGTCTTTACATGGAACGTTCTAAAATTATAGCAATTTCATACACATATGTATGAGTAAAATGAAACTTTTGTTACTTTAATGTAAATAAACTGCAAAAATTCGAAAATTGCTAACTCATTTGCCATTTTGTCAAATTTCTAAATTTCTTCAATTTTTAATCAATCGTTTTGTTGCACCAAAAATCAACTTCATATTAAAGTATCAAACGCTACATTTACCTCAAAACGCACGAAATTCATGCCATTTTAGAAATTTGCATTTAAAGACATTAGACAAGGGGTAAATCCTATCTAAAAATCCATGAGTTATTCCATTATAATGCTGAAATTATATTTGTTTCCAGCGTCCCTGATATCGAGCCTGATGATAGTGCTTCCCCCCACGCTGGGCTACATCCAAGCCATTTTTCCCTTCCTCCTCACATATTTCCTCAATTGGTACTTGGAAATATTGTGCGAATTAAGGGCGTCTAACTTTACCGTGGTCGACGCCCGAATCCAATTGTATTACCGATTAAGCGCTAACGTTTCCTCGTTCGTACGGGTCTTTGGAACCTGCATCGTCATCGATGTGGCCCACAGCGTGATGCGGATCGTATTTTGCGCCTATTTTGTAGCGACAAGTCCTACCACCCCCTTCGCCACGGTCCGGGGAACGATCTCCGATGTTTTCACGGTCCTGGCATATTGCTACCTGCTCTTCACTATTTGCACGAAGGGGTCCCAACTGGAGGGTAAAAGTGGCGATTTTATTAAAACTTGTGACCATGGATTTGGAGAGGGTGGCGCATTTTGTGGCGCTTATTTGCTAAAACCTTATCGCCCCCAGTTAGCCAAGATTTCCCTGGACACGGACTATTTTAGAGTGAATCTAGGCCTAATTACACCGGTAAGCTGTACATATATAGCTTTTGATCAAGCGATATTACTGAGTTGGTTGCATGGGGTACATAACTTTTTAATGAATAATTTCCAGATTGTTGGAACAGTCATGACAAATTTGATTGTACTGATGCAGTTTCAAAATGGGGACAGGGCAGTAGTAAACGCAAAATGAAACCCCTTCGCCTGTGATTATTTAATAAATATTTAAAACAGATAATAATTTTATGAAGCAATTGTAAGTAGCCTTGTGTTGAAAATCTCAATAACCCATAATAAATATACATATGTATACACCTATTTATGTAGTAATGATTAGTAAACTAATGCATTTGGTTACACCCATTATTCCAAAAGTTATTGAACATCTCTCATATACAACCGAGATATACATACATATTACATATGTATGTACATATGTATGCAAATTCCAAGAACAATGAGCGTCATTTGTTCGTAATACATACGTTGCTTAATTAATTGGGTGGCACGAATGGAATCTTCCTCTTTAATGAATGTTTTTTTTTGGTAAATAAGTAACTTATTGCACCGCACCTGCACGAGCTGTACTTATTGAGTTGAGAAGTACAGTTTGTGAGCAGTTGATATTGTTAATGGGGTCTTATTTCCATTTCCGATTGACAATTTCATCATATACATAAATATGTTTATATGTAAGCAAAGTGCAGATATGCAGAGCTGGGAAATTAATGAGTTTCGAGATTAAAAATTAAGATTTGAGATTAAAAATCCCCGAATCAGAGATTAAGATTAAGATTAAAATTATTCTTCCGCTACTAAATTAAATTATTAAGATTAAATTAATCTACTTTTATGACACAGATTAAAGATTAAAGATTAATTAATCTAGATTAATAATAATAATTAAGAATTATTTTATTTTATCGCCGTTTTTTATAGTTTACATCGATATTATATCATAAATTCTAAAATTTGAGAAAAGTATGAAGCATCGGTGCTTCAAAATTGTTATTCAAAATTATTAAACTTTTATCAGCTAAATTTAAGGCGAATACAATAACTTGTAATACGAGTAAAAATTAGTCTCACCTCAAATGCAACGCGTTTTTAAATTTCAAAAAATAATAACTCTTAATTTTTTAAATTAAATTAATTTTTTTAATGACAGCAAATTTCTTAATCTTTTTAAAGAATACAGTTTTAAATAACGTTCCTTTCAAAGAAGGGAACCTGTCAGAAATTTAGAATTGTTTTGATTTTTAAAAATGGTTCCAGTGTTGAAAGACGATCGTGCGTTGAAATTTAGAGATTTACAAGGAGTCGACAGTCGAGTAACAGATGGTAATCATAATATTAATCGTGATTAAAATTAAAGTCGAAGATTCAAAGATTAAAGATTAAAAATTAAATTAATTAAATTGACTTGTGAGATTAAGATTAAAATTATTGATTAATACGATCAAATTTCTTAATTAAAATTATGGATTAAGATTAATTATTCTTAATCTTAATCTTAATCTTGATTATTTTAATCTAGATTTTCCCAGCTCTGCAGATATGTATGTAACACAGGAAATTAGGTTTGTCTTGCAAATATGTAAATTATTCATGCCACTTTCTCCCAATTATCCAGCTTCGTATGCTCTTCCAGCTGGTGGACAGATACGTATTTACTCTGTCTCGATTATTTTGTTTTGCAAAAATTTGTGAGTTCCTGGGCACTCCCAACTATGCAATCTGTGTCAACTTTTTCCAATAAACCCATTTCGACAGTGGTAGATGAAGGTTTTCATCTTGACCGTGGCTGACCGTCCTTTTGCCGTGTTTTTGGTGCTACCTACTCCACATCAACTGGACTCCCCTCGTTTCCTGCCTAGTTGACTCTCCCCTTCCCAATCTTCTGTAGGATTGGACTGCAACGTAACATCCATTCATTCTGGGGGATAAGAATTTCGACAGCCCCTCTTTTGGAAAAAAGCCACTGGGTGTGGTTCTGCTTGGTGCGTAATACACCTCTACAGCAGTAACCATACCCGCCCGGCAAGGCCCGGCAAGTCAATTAATTCATTATTTAATTATTGACATCTTCCCCTTTTTGCTATACATCTCCTAAAAAAGTTTTCTCTCATATTCTTCCGGAGATGGACTGGATCACCGCATGGAAATTTGATTGATGATGACTGGAACTTTATGTGAAACATGTCATCTGCCCATCAGACAACAACAACTGACATTCATCTGCAACTCGTGTGAGCAAAAACATCACCGTATATGCCATAAAAATGTAAGAATACCGGAAAAAGGTTACACTCGTGCTAATGTTCTACCTAATTGGGTTTGTCCTAACTGTACATTACACATTCGTAACGGATCCTGCCTCATTGGACCGGACTTCCTCAGTACGTCAACCTTATTATCATGCCAATCTTTATTGGAGCCTCCTTCTTCCCCGCCTTCGTCCAACGTCGTCTCAACGCCTCGCGTCGACCCCACTCCACATTCGACTGCTACACCTTCACCACACCCGCTCAATTTTATAAATGATTTGCGTGGTTTTAAATTAGCACACCAAAACCTTAATAGTTTAAGAAATAAGATTAATGATATTTCTGTTTCCCTTTGTGCTAGTAACATCGACCTGTTTGCCATTACTGAATCAAAACTTGACCCTCATATTGACATTAACGGAACATACATCATTCCGAATTATTTTCTCCTTCGCCAAGACCGTGTAAAGAAAGGAGGAGGTATTGTAGTTTATTTAAAAAATTGTTTTACTTATGAAATTGTTGACTGCCCTATTGTGACTAATTTCAATTCCGAACATTATATTCTAAAAATTAGTTACTGCCCGGACAAAGCTTTCTTGGTCGCAGTAGTTTACAGTCACCCGTCGGTCACTACTAGTAAACTTGTTTCCTATTTTCATGAATTGAATTGCTTTCTCCTTTCTCTCACCAACGACTACATTATTGTTGGTGATTTTAACCTTGACTTACACAAAAGAGACTCTGATTCTTTCTCATTGCTAAATGCAGCGAAAGAATTCCAACTTTCACAACTCATACACGGACCAACTTTTAAAGGACTCTCTCTCCTTGACCACGCTTACGTTAGTAAAAAACTTCATTTTACTTCAGCCGGTCATCTGTCCCATACATGTTCTGATCATGACCTTGTGTATGTAATTCGTAAAACCTCTAAACCTAAATATTACCCAGTCAAAACCTATTATAGATGTTATACGAACTGTGACTTTGAAGCACTTGACTCTGAACTAATTTCCTTTAAGTTTAATTATTTTAGTGATATTGACATAGAATTTAATAGATATAATTTATATTTCTTATCTTTACTAGACAAGTATGCCCCACTGAAATCTAGATTTGTTAAAGCAAAATGGAACCCTTGGTATTCTGCTTACGCTGTACTACGTAAAAATAGAGATAAACTAAGAATAATTCGTGATCGTACTCAAGCTTATCCTGATATATGTAAGTACCGTTGCGCTCGTAATTTATATAATACAAGTATAAATAACGCAAAAAAGTTGTATTTCTCAGAAAAACTTACCGAGAATGAGAAAAATACGGTTTCTTTGTGGAATCATGTTAATCAGTTAAATGGGTTTCGTAAAAAGCAACGTATGAGTATATGTAAATTAATTAACCCTTCCAATAACACATTAGTTTCTACCGTTAAGGAAGTTAATCTTGTTTTAGCAAATCAATTCGTCGTTAATTCAGTTAGAGCGATTCCTGAAAAAGATTTAAATGAACAGATGACGGATTATTTTGCTAATTTTGAGAATGATAATCTGAATGAATCCACTATTGTAACCCTTTGTGAGGTAGAAAAAGCGATTTCTGACACTGTGAAAGATAGTCCCTCAAATATGTATGTACCTCTTTCCATTATAAAACGATGTAAGCAAACTGTAACTTTACAATTAATGGTTTTATTTAATATGATCCTGAATCTCTGTACGGTACCTCAAGCTTTCCGTTCCACTATTACTGTACCAATCTACAAAGGAAAAGGGAAAAAACATTCTCCCTCTAGTTACCGACCGATATCAATGATAAATATATATTGTAAAATTTTCGAACGATTATTATATACACGATTATGTTTTAGAATTGACTCAAAACTTTGCAAGCAACAGCATGGCTGTAGAAAAAAACACTCTTGTCAAACTGCTCTTTCTGAATTTACTAACTATATATATTCAGCACTTGATGTTAAGAATGGTAAATGTATTGCGATTTATTATGATGCCCGTTCTGCTTTCGATAGCCTAGATAGGTCATTGTTGATTAAGAAATTAATGTCTCAGTTTAAACTAAACCCTACATATATTAGTACTCTGTATAACTACATGAATCATAGATGCTTTAAGTTTAAGGATGATGATCAATATTTTAATAATCCAACGGGTGTAGTTCAAGGGGCAGCGGGTAGTGGTTTGTATTACTCAGCCTATCAAGACGACATAAATAAGATCATCACCATTCCGTTCTTACTCTATGTTGATGATCTGGTAATCTACATCGCCGGTCAAGATTTAGATGTTATGATGAAAATCATTATTGACCAGGCAAACGCGGTGCAAAAGTGGTATGATGATAACAACCTATCAATTAATTATACCAAAACTAAGTTCCAAATATTTTGTAAACCCAACTGTGTAATCCCTCCTGAGTTTACCTCCCCAATTCTGTTAAACAACGGCCAATCGATAGAATATGTACATACGTTCAAATACCTCGGTGTAATGTTAGACTCTAACCTTAACTTTCGTGATCATTTTAATGCTGTTACTAAGAAAGTTTCTCAGAGTTTAGGTTATCTACACGGTTTAAAGCGGCACCTGACCGATAAAGTCATGGCCATTATGATTAACAGCCATATTCACTCGATTATGGACTTTTGTATTGATATCTGGGCCATTCAGACTGATGCCCAACTCGATTCAATACAACATAAAGTAAACTCCTTCCTTGTCAAATTCATGTTTCCCTCCCTTGCAAAAAAATTTCGACATAAGAAACATTCACGCTTTAAAATCAATAAGCAAGCGATAAAGATAAATGAGTTGTTATGTAAGTGTAACCTTTTGACAATACGAGAGCGTCGTGATTTATTTCTGTATAAGTACGCTTTTAAACACCTCCAAGACCAAATAAGTTCCTCCGCAATTAGACGTTCTTGGCCACTCTTAACTGTAACATCATGTAACTTTGCTCAAAAATCCATAAATTATCGCGCGACCAAGT